CACTCCGATGTACTATACTCAGTAAAAGAGCAGTTACTTAGTAGGGTAGGGTCAAGCCTCCAGTGCCTGCAGTCTGGATCTCTATAAGGGGGAGAGACAGTTACACTGATAGGTGAGTGATCAGAAAGAAACTTAGTACCAATTGTACAGTTCAGTATTTTGCCCAGAACTGTCCTTGAAGACAAAAAGTAGTTTATTCTGGAAAACACCTGGTGGGGGATTGAGAAAAATGTGTAGTCTTTATGCAGGGGGTGTAGCACCCTCCAAACATCATATAAATCTAAATCTTTACAAAATTCGCCCATTTTTGCACTTTTCTTGGAGAGAGTAGATTGGGGGGGGAGACATTTCAATATTCGGGTCAGATGTACAATTAAAGTCACCTCCTAGAAGTAAATATGGAGAAGAAAATGTTGCCAAATCTGAAATAAGCTGTGGAATAAAAGAGGCTTCATTTATTGTTGGGGCATATATACACCCAAAAACGACATGTTCTCTGTAAAGGTAGCCAGACAGAAGTACATAACGTCCCTCCTTATCTGATGTTGTTTTATCAAGGGTAAAAGGCAGGGAGCGATGTAGGAGAACAACCCCTCTACTTTTCGAATTATAAGAAGAGTAGAATACCTGGCCCACCCAGTTTCTCCTCAGTTTTATATGTTCCAGGTCTGAAAAGTGGGTTTCTTGGAGAAAGGCAATTTGGCATCTCTCTTTTTTAAGGAAGGACAAGATTTTCTGGCGTTTGATGACATGGTTAATGCCCTTCACATTAAGTGAAACAACCTTAAGGTCACTCATGCAAAACTAACTTCATATAGTTGGGGGTATTCTATGCAGCCACTAGTGAAACACAGAAGAGAAAAGGCAGCATCTGATCTGGTAATCAATAAAAGACTGGAGCTAAACATACACTGTAAAAACGAAAACAACACAATAAATAAGGCTGTCTGTGAAAACTCCTCCCCAAACGGTGGCTCAGAACCCTGAATGAAATAGAGCCCCCCAAACGAGAAAACAAGAACAAAGAACAACCTTATAAAGGCGTTAAGAGTCCTAGGGCAGGTGAGGCAGAGAGGTATCCTCCCACCTGTGAGAGAAAAAACTGCACCAGCTGCAGGAGTTTCCACCTGCATCCCACTGCTGATGCCCGTTCTCCACAAACCTCCCGCTTCCCAGCTAAACAGCCGATGTGATTATTAAACCATAACATAGACTGTATGGTAATTAAGTATCATTGAGAGAGAAAAAAAAATGTAGGCATATTACCTCAGCATGTGTCTATCACAGAAAAATAAAAAAGTAAGCATGTAAACAGATTTAAAAAAGAGAGCAAACACTGCACTGGCAGCCGTAGCAGGTGCCGATCAGAGCCAAAATATCAGTAAACTGTAGATCCAGAATATCGAAATCAAAATAAGATTAGGGGGAGATCGAGAAATTTAAACATTAACAATTAACGACAGATACCTGTATCAGATCTTCTTGTAGCTATGAAAGTAAACTCCCAAGAAATGAGGTCCATCACTGACTCACCAAGGTCCATATAAGTGGCCGGGGTATCAGTCCAGTTACAATATGAAAAATAATCGCCTGGTACCCATCTCCTGAGGTGCTGTCCTCGTGTCAAACACAGACTGCAGTCCTCTATTCCTCATCTTCCATTCGGCAAAAGTTCAGTCACTGTGTCTGCTGTGTGAACCGTGTAAAGAAGAAAGAGAGAAAAAAAAACACTTAAAGTTATCCTTATTCCGCGCTCGATATTAACCATTCTTGCTCAAAAAGTCCTCCGCTTCCCATGGGCTTTTGAAGGAGCGTTCCTCCCCATTGAAGGTGAAGCACAAGCTGGCCGGGTAGCGCACCATCAGGAACCGTAGTCCTCTCTGGATGAGGCGTTCACATACCCCGTTGAACTGACGCTGGGCTTCCCTCACCTGGGCTGACAGGTCCTGTCGGATGTAAATCTTGTCGCCCTGGTAGGTGACCTCGTCTTTCTCTCGGACAGCGGCAAGGATCCATGGGTGCAGATCTGATGACAAGTTTGGGGGGGACACAATCAGTTGTGATTTTTTTTAATTGCACGCATGCAAATCATGCCCACAGAGCGCTTGAGATTGCCAGCATATTTCACGATTTCATAGAGGCTCATCACCATCACCAAGTCATTCAAAAAGCACTACAAAGAGAATCATATGCTTACCTTTACTGTTTATTTCTCTTAAACAGCCAGTAGTACATGGAACCAGCCATCACCCTCCTTTTCACTGCTTCGCTGTTAGTTAATGCTACTTCTAGTTTCAGGGTCTCAGGCATGTTATGTCCACTCACGTTCTCATCTCTCGCCTCTCACGGATTCCCATTTCTCCTCATCATCTTCCCTTTCTCCCAGTATATAGGACTACTGTATACATTTGTTCAATTTCAATCATTTAGGCTATTTAGAATTGGGGGGGACAATTTGTGTTTTTCAGAATTTGGGGGGGACATGTCCCCCCCATCCCCCCTGGGATCTGCACCCATGCAAGGATCCGTTGTTTGTCACTAAAATTGTGCAACTTGATTATAACAGGTCGGTTATAATTTTTCTTTGGCGGGCCTAAGGCTCTGTGTGCCCGGTGAATTTTAATCGAGCCTCGCTTCGTCTCCAGACCCAGCGTGTCTGGAAGCCAGGTCCCAAAAAACCTGACAGCCTGATTCTCCTCTGCTCCTTCCTTGAGGCCGATGATTCGTATATTATCTCTGTGGCTCCTGTTCTCGCTGTCCTCGGCTCGGTCGGTTAAAATCTTCACTCTCTGTTCAAGTTCAGCCAGCTTGTTTTCCAGAGTGGTTGTGCGGTCCTTGCCATTTGTGTTGTCTTCGACGCGGCTGCTTAGTTTGTCCAGAATAGAGTGCAGCTCGGAAAACTTCTGCTCCATGAGAGCGCCAATCTTTTCAGTAACAGTTTTGGAAACCGTGTCAGCCACGCTTTCCTCAAACGACATGCTGTCTCCATCATCCATGCTAGCCTCTGTGTTAGCTGCGAGCGGCTTTTTTGCTTCGGGGCGAGCTCTACGCGATGTCTCTCGTGGATTAGTATTCCCTTTAGTGCCGGACATGTTCCCCAGCAAAAGTAGCCAAAATAATTCAGGTTTAGTCCGTCAAAAATGAAATTTATCGGCTGAGGAAGCGGGAAGTCGGCAAAAGCAATCCTCTCAGTCCGAATGCATCACGTGACCCGTCAGGGTCCTGGACCTCCATCTACAGCACCCTCCAGCAACCCCAGCTGCTTCCTCCACCTGCAGAGTCGGGCAGACAGCTGTGGCCAGACCTGCACCTAATGCCTCTGCCACCAACCTGCAACCTCCACCTGCAGATTCTGGCAGACACCTTGGCAAAACCTCCAATTAGATCCTCTGACAGCAGCCTGCAACTGCCACCTCCACCTCTCATGGGAGGACAATTCCATCTACCAAAAGTCTGGACCTCTGTCAACCTCCTGCCAACAACATGCAGCTTCCGCCTCCACCTGCATTCTCTGGCAGACAACTTGGCAATACCTCCATCTACAGCCTCTGCCAGCAACATGCAGCCCTTGCCTGCAGATTCTGGCAGATCCGCTCAGCTTCTCCATCTCCAGCCTCCGTCAGGAACCTCCAGCTGCCACCTCACCCTGCAGACTCTGGCAGACACCTGCAGCCAAACATCCAACTGGAGCCTCTGACAGCAACCTGCAGCCGCCGCCAACACCTGTCACTTGTCGAGTGAAAACAGGGATCCTATATTTCTGTCTTATAGTACATCTAAGAATAATGTCTAATGCGGAAACTCTCTGTGGTTTTCTGCAGGCCCTGTTGGACTTCACAGACTTCCAGGTCAACCAGGAGCTCTTTAATAGCTGGGAGGACAATTCCATCTACCAGAAGTTTGGACCTCTGTCAACCTCCACCTTAAGCTTCTGCCAGCAGCATGCAGCCCTTGCCTGCAGATTGTGGCAGAACCGCTCAGCTGTTCCATCTCCAGCCTCCATCAGGAACCTCCAGCTGTCACCTCACCCTGCAGACTCTGGCAGACACCTGCAGCCAAACATGGAACTGGAGCCTCTGACAGCAGCCTGCAGCTTCCGCCTCCACCTGTCACTTGTCGAGTGAAAACAGGGATCCTATATTTCTGTCTTATAGTACATCTAAGAATAATGTCTAATGCAGAAACTCTCTGTGGTTTTTCTGCAGGCCCTGTTGGACTTCACAGACTTCCAGGTCAACCAGGAGCTCTTTAAGAGCTGGGAGGACAATTCCATCTACCAGAAGTTTGGACCTCTGTCAACCTCCACCTTAAGCTTCTGCCAGCAACATGCAGCCCTTGCCTGCAGATTGTGGCAGATAGCCTGGCCGCTCCATCTCCAGCCTCCATCAGGAACCTCCAGCTGCCTGACAGCCGCCTGCAACTGCCACCTCCACCTGTCACTTGTCAAGTGTCAAGTGAAAACAGGGATTCTATTTTTCTGTGATAAAATACATCTAAGAATAGTGTGGAAACTCTCTGTGTTTTTCTGCAGGCCCTGTTGGACTTGACAGACTTCCAGGTCAACCAGGAGCTCTTTAAACATATTTTGGGGGGTTGTGTTACTGTGAAATCACTCTGGGCTAATGTTGTTGACATTTCAGCTGAATTACTTGATAATTGCTTTCACTCTGCCCAGCTTTCTGTTTCTTTGGTTATAACCCAAACGTTACATTGCCATCTGTAGTGAAACAATTAATCCTCGCACCTTTCACAGCTGCAAAGAGGACAAGTCTTAAAAACTGGTTGAAACCAAGCATTGTGCTGACTAGAGCCTGTGCTGTATTGTTTTATATTAGTCTTGTAGAAAAATCTACAGCCAAGGTTAATGATGCAAAAACTGAGACACACAATGAAGTTAATAGTTGAGTCTACTGAAGGCCTGTATGTGTATTTCTGTGTCGCTCCGTTTTTGGATATGTGTATTTCTAATTGGCACAACAAACCACACAACACAGACATACTCATTTGAAAGCAGACCTTTATACATATTTACAAAAAGAAAAACAAAGTCTCCGCACATGAGAGATCAGTTGAAGACAGATCATTCCGTCTGCAAAGAAATCGTTCTGGAAAAATCACGAGAGACGAATATTGACACTGAGATGTAAACACAGCAAAACAGAGTGAAACACAAGAGGCCGTTGTAATGAACGAGGAGCAGCTCTGCACCAACGTCTTTGAGGAGGAAACACTAAATGTTTAAAACCGTCCGCCATAAAAATGTCTCGTAGGAGTTTCGCCTCCTACTCGTGTGGTGTCCTGGATCTGGATCTGACACAAATATACACACATTACACACTCATATACACACTACATCCACAAGCCAGAGACCATACAAGCTTTATTATTTTCATATTTTTTAGGTTGTTGGAATTGATGCATACTTAAATGAGAGTAGAGACAAAACAGAAACTCTTACACTGGCAGCATGCTCAAAGTGAAATCAAAGTTTGTGTCTTCTCTCGAGAAAAATGGAGGCTACGAGCCTGAAAACAAGCGTCACATTTGGCTTTGTTTGCCTGAGGGTGTGTGTCCTGGCTCGCAGAACGTGTTAACATTTCTGCACAGCCTGCTTTTTTAATTTGCCAACATGATGGTGCCTGAAAGCTGGTCGACAGTCATGTGAGCGCATATAGAGAGCCAAAATCCCTCTGCTTTTCCTTGCTAGCCGTTGTCGTTAGCATCTGTAATATAATAGTGAGATGTTTCTTTTATCCGTCTCTCTGAGGAATTAAATGTCCCTGAGGTTTCATGTCCATTTTTAAATGTTTGACGAGCTTCCCCCATTTTCAGTCTTGGTGCCAAGCTAAGCTAACCAGCTAATGGCGGTAGCTAAACTCAGCAAGAAAGCAACAGATTTCCCAAAATGTAGAAGTATTCCTTGAAGCTACTGTATTTTCAACTGAACTGGTTGGTAGAGTATACCATTTAGACTAATATATAACAATGATTATTTTGTTGGCATTAACAGTTAGCAGCTTCCGTACTGTACTGACATTTTATCTTGCCTAAAGTATAAAGGTGTTAACATTTTATTACACTAAATGACAGCCATATATCTAGAACAAAAAACGCCAGTACCATGTTCTTTAGAAAGGCCTCCATTTAGAAATTCATTGAGTTTGAGGCGCTAGCTCATGTGCAGCCGTTAGCTAGAAACTTTGATTCTCTATACTTTCATGTTTTTGGTGTATGCTTAATACTTTGAGGAAAAAGATACAACAACAAAAATACACCAATTATTATACTGTTAGCATTCAACGGCCCCCACAAGACTTACAAACAGTAGCCTATGTTAGTGGCTACGTTTCATAAGATGTTTGCAACTGCTCACAGCATAACTATTTTTACTTGTCGTACCCTGAACGTTACATTTGACAGCAGACTGAGAACACACCAAACCCTGATTTCACTTGGAGCATACTGCCAGCTTCACATTTCTGAGAAATGGCTATACCTGACACTTGTACACAACATTCAACAGTGACTCAAACAAACACACTCCCATATAAACTCGCTCTCTCTCTCTCTTTACTCAAACACACACATTCAAACGTAGCTCAGTGCGGGTTCACTCTTTAATGTGGCCAAAGCCGAGGAGCCAAGCCCATGTTAATCTTCTGCAGGCTCTCTCTGCTCCGAGTCGGTCTGGTTTATTTTTCTTGCAGCATCAAAAGTGTCTCCGATCCGTTGCTGAGCTCCCTGTTTGGTAGATTTACTGGCTTGGCCTCTCGCTCTGATCCCACTCATGTCAAACACACAGATGCAAACTGTACAAGCACACACACACACACACACACACACACACACTCACTCACTCACTCACTCACAGACACACACAAAACTAGCAGTGCAAAGGGACTGGAAACCTGCAGGACCCAGCATGGATATATTTACTCTAATAGACTGTAGGCAGACTTGCATGCTCAGCATCATCATTGCGGGATGAAATTAAATATATGAAAAGACCAGAGGCTGTTATTATTGAACTAAACCATGCATGTAAATGCATCATCTCCCAGTAAACCATACAAAATAAAGCTAAGTTTTAATTTAGTGAGTCTGTCTGGCTTCCTGCTTCTCCCACTCCATTTTTTCTGTGAACTACAGATTTTAGTTCCTGCTGCCTTGAGCCGAAGCAGTTTTTACTTTTAAATGATGTGTGGGATGAGCCAGATTCTCAAAAATATAACCATTAACTTTTTGATCCCATTGAAATGGTGCCATGAGTTACACATATGTTAATCAATTTAAAAAAATAATTTCACAACAGAGTTCGTTGTAGGTTTTTCATAGTACCATTTTGTTTTGTGTGAAACCGCTCAGGGAACTACGTCTTTCGTCTTGCACGATATACGTCACCTACACCAGCTAGCTAGGTACCATAGCTCTGTTCCACGCACAGATGTAAATTCATCCCACCTGATGTGTTTAATCCAGTGACTCCTGGTCTTTTTATTAGCTTGGTAGCAAAACACAAGCGAGGCCTGTTGCTCATCTGAGTATATTTTCATTCGAAATGCACAGGCTTTGTAGCTTCAGTGAGAGAGAAAGCTATGACATCACTAATGCGATGTGGGTTGTCTTTCAAATTAGAGTCTTACAACAATTTGCAGCTTTCTTGAGTTGCAAAATCATCTTTTAATTTGACAAAATCATGGCACAATTCAAACGGGAAACAAAAGGTTTTTCGTCTCTCGTCTTATATTTTTTTCCCGAAACACGATTCAATGGTGGGCCACCGGAAGGGGAGGGACTACGCCTCTTTATTTCCACAAGTAGGAGTGGGAATGTGCATCAACAGAAGCAGATGGCAACAATTACAAATGTTATAAAAGAAAAAAGAATACTGTGCAGACTTGCGGGCACACAAACATACTGTACAGGCATAAATACACACAAAGACAGACCAACACAAATGTGGAATGAGCGTCCAGTTTGTGAGACATTGTGGTTGAACTGATCGATTTGGGAGCTTGATGTATTCCCCCAAAAATCTGACCTCAACTTCTGACACAAGCAGTTTCACTCCAGACTACAGAAATAAATACCACTAAGAAGAAAGTTAAATAGAGGTGGAACAAAGTTGTGTTGGTTTAACATTTTAACATTAAGAACAAATCACAATTTACTGCCTTGTAAAGTCCCTTAAGTCGATCAAATCCCACACGCCAGAGTCCGTTTGACGCCAGTCCTGTTTAGCACTTTCTCAAGTTCCAACTTCGTATAATAAGGGCTTCATTATAATACATCGGGCCTGCTTCATGATTTACAGCCAGATGTCATTAGCAGCTGGAGCTACAGGACCAGCAATATATTACTTTTTTAGTTGAGCTGGAACACACTCAAAGTCACTGATGGCCCACGTTGGGTCCTGAGCCATAGGTTGAAAACATGCATATTCTGTACAGAGTCTTTTGGAAGTTCAGTTCATGCGTCGGTCCTCTTCGAAACGTGTTTTCTTGTCCATGTCATATCAAACACTACTGAAAAAATCTTTCTAAAAGCATCTTGATATTCTACACAGCTCAGTATGCTGAGTTAACTGACCTCACCAAAGTTACAATAAAAACAGTTTCAGTATCTACGTGCTAGAAATATGATTTTGGAAGCTAGCAATTAAAATACCCCTCTTTTGCCAAAAATGTCTGGTAGCAGTGACTCTGGTTATGATGCTTTAGACCCATTAAAACCATTTAAAACAGATTCAATCATGAATGTCAGGAGGAACATTTTTTGACTTACATGAGAGGCTTCATTGTGCCTCGTCTAATAGCAGCTAAACTGTTCTTTTCCCAGCAACTTACAAAGGAAAGAAAAATGTGTAGATTTGTCAGCAAACTGGAGTTGATGTGCAGATGTTACTTTTGTCCTACGTCACACTAAACATCTTTCCTAAATCTGTACACTGTCCTCGTGGGATTCCAGACAAACTAAACCAACACTAAGAATAGGATTTTTCCTGATGTTATAAAACACACCAGATCCACCGTCTTCATCTCTGCTCACTTTTTCCCACACCTACACTAAGCTCTCTGCTGCGTGGCAGTGCCCGATATATGCGTAGGATCTCTGAACCTTGAGGGGAACATAATGGAAACATCTCCTGCAGTGTGTCTGTACGGCTGCAACGTCCTGGGAAAGCAGATCTGTAACCTCATCAAAGCAGTCGTCCTGCTTTTTTTTCGGCCTTTCATCTTTATGGTCACAGTCCGTCATCTCGCGGTCAGACCCCACCTATCTGAAGAAACCAGCCAAACTCTCACTGTAGGTGAACTGTTGGTGAACATCCAGGAAAAGATGCTCAACAGTGCTATTTACTGCCAAGTAATTACCTGCTTAAAGCCCTCGCTATAACTGCTCATTAATTTCCAAACAAATGCCCACATCACAGAGAATATTTGGACACTTTTCTTGTACCGTCTCTTTTTTGTCTAAGTTTAGCTGTTGTTAGGCTAACAGCAAACAGTTGTAAGAACTGTCTCTACTGATGTGTTCAAGGATGCTCAGACGTTTGAGTGAAGAGCAGCCAAATCCTTTTCGCCACATGTATGTTTGTTTGTCCTCTTGCTCCCATTTTCAGACAAGAGCCTGTTGACCAAATCTTTCGAGCATCTGACCCCCAATTCTATGAAGGACGGCCAAGGATGGAGTGTCCTTGAAATCTGAACTCAACACATTGTAAAGTTTGGAAAATGCTGCTTGCATCAAAAAACCTTTGAAATCTTGGGCATTCTGCATGTTTGTGTCAGATGCTTTCAAAGCGTACTGACTTTAATAGAAAGCAGCGTCTGCCTGGAAGATACAAAATCAATCTAAACACATCTGTTCTGCTTTGGAAAATAATTGGCAGTGTGTATGTCATTTATAATCAATGGGCAAAAACATGCAAAGCATGTATGACCAGTATGGTCTTTTAAGGCAGCGCTAATTTAAGAGGGGTTGGATGATTTTTTAAATGCTGAATATCTAAAAAAAAAAATTTCTCTGTGGAGGCTCCAGATCTTAAACATCCTCTCCCATGTCCTCCTCACGGCACAGAGTCAGTTAAACTGAGTGATCTGAACGTGCCGTTCATCCTTCATTCGACATGCTACGCAGCCTATGCTATTCTACTTTTTTTTTATTCACAAGTCTTTTGTCACGATGCAACAGTCTTTGTTGTTCACATCCTTCTGTACATACTTCAGTTTGTTTTTGTGTAGCTTAGTTTGAAAGTTCGTCACTATAATGAAAGGATGCCTCTTTTGTTTGTAGATAAGTGCATGCGCATGTCATAGTCTCATACAGTATGTGTGTGTCTCAGTGTATAAGTTAAGTGTGTGTGTGGGTGTACATGTGTGTGTCTTAGTGTGGACGTTAACATAAATGTGTGTGTGTGTGTGTGTGTGTTTAAGTCACTGAAAATACGCCCTCCTTTTCCGCGACACATTCAAGCGCTCCTCGGTGCCCTCTGCTGCAGCTTGCTCCTGCTCTTCCTCCCCGCTGCTCTTCCTCCCCCTCCTCCTCCTCCACCTCCTCCTCTTCCTCCCCCATGCTTGTGCCTCTCCGCCCTCTCTTTCTCCTTGATCGGGGCCAACATGATGTCACCGTGGCGACGGTGGTTGCGTGGGGGTCGGTATCCTAGTGCCCGGCAGTGCTGGCCGATGTTTCCAGGATGAATCAGCGCCATCACGTCCTCGTACCAGGGCTGGGTCCCTGCGCTCTGGTAAGATGAGGCGGACCAGGAAGCGAGGAGGCGATTGGCCGAGGGGCTCCAGACGGTGAGGCGGACAGTGACGGCGGTCCAGTGGTAGCCATGCTCTTCCACCTGGCAGTGGTAGACACCGCCGTGAGACAGCTCCGCTTGACGAATCAGGACGCCCCGCTCTATCACCACCAGCTGGTCACCTGTGACCACCTGGAGAGAGAGAGAGAGAGAGCAGGAGATCAGAGGAGGTTCAAGTTTAAGTTCAAGTTCTTTATTTATCATATGCAGAAAGGTGAAAGGAAATTGGTGCTACATGCATCATTAAAGTAGAAGGCTGGTGGACAAGTATTGGACAGTGTTTATATCCACCAGTATTAATGTTCTTGAACACTAAAGGACAGCATTACAGTAAAACGTGTGTGTGTGTGTGTGTGTACCTGGTTTAGTTCAGGACTGTTCTCTCCAGCCTGTTTGTACCAGGTAACAGCAGCATGTCTGGATCGGGGAAGACACTCCAGGTAGGTGCTGTTTCCCTCAGCAACCACCATCATCCTCTGCTCCGCCTCCACCTGCAGCCCGGCTGAATGAAATTGAAGCAAAGACGTCACTGGTTAGAGAACTAGTTTTTGTTTGGTTTTAATTTTGTTTCCTTTTTTGCGGAGAACTCAGTCCCTGGTTCTCTCTTTATTAGCTGCAACCAGCAGCTCTGAGGCTTGTAGAGCTGTCGCAGTGAAGGAGTTTCCTTTGTGGTGATAAAGGGTGGCTCAACAGCGTGATATATAGTAAAACTGCAATTTTTTGTTGTTTTTGCACATTGCTTCATTTATCCTGACTGGAGTGCTTTGTAAGTAAGCTTTATATATTGCTGCTTTTCAAATGACAAAGACGACAGTTTTTAAACAAATTAAATACTTGTTCATTGTTAAATGTAGAACACAGAGACAGTAAAAACGCAATAAGGGGCACGGCATTTTTTCAGCTTACACACTTCAGTTGCATCTGGTTGCTATGATATGAAATATCCATAGGAGTAAAAATGGCAGCACAACGTAGAGTGCTTGCTCTGGATGGAGGGAAGATTGAAGCATGTAAAGAGAGAGGACGGACCTGCTGGACTGTGTGGGCTCATAATTAATTTCTCCTCCATTGTTGCTCAATTGGTCTTTGTGGTATTTGCCATGCCCCTGCTCCACTGTGAGTGGACATCTGGGTAAAAAGTGACAATGACCAGCACAGCATTTTACCCAAAGGTGAATGTGTTCCAACTGTCAGCCACCAGAAAAAAGAAAAGGCCAACGTGTAGCGCTCAGTTTTGCAGCTCGAAACGCTACTCGTCATTTGTTGCAGAGTGCACATATACAGAGCTTCCATAAGAGAAGGAGAATAACATGGATATAGCAGTAGTGGCAGTTGCTTGCCATCCCATGTGGATGGCTTGTCAAAGGCGTGGCATTGTGATATTGCGTTTATTGTAAAAGTCCTATTGGCTCCCTCTGTCTGTCCGCAAGTATTTCTCCAGCCTTTGGCGGCCACAGTTTTTGCCCTAAGACGCTGAAATTTGGCATGGAGGTCAAGTGTTTGTGAGGTTGTTTGTGAGTAAATGCATGCATGTGCGCATGTGGTCACAGCTATTATGAATTTGCACTTACCACTAATTTTATGTTTTTGCCTATTTAGAAAATACATTTATTTTACTTTATTGTCAGTGTTTTTTATTCATCTGTAGAGTTCATCTGGATCGAGGGTGGATGGGGGTCATATGTTGTGCAGATTATAAAGCTTCTTAATCACATATTCAATCATGTATTTGTTATTTGGGGCCATATAATTAAAACTGGCTGAAAAGCTGTCACTATTTTCATCTAAATGTATCTTACTGTTGCTGAGGCACTGTTAAAGCTGTTGTTACTGCGACTGCCTGCCAAACGTTACACCATTATAATTGTGTCAAGCACTGGTGTATTGCTGAGTGAACCAATACAGTACAGTAAATTAGCTCCTCACCTCCCTGTCTGACACACTGAGTTAGTGGATCCTCATCTTCCCCTAAGTGACGAGCATTCCTCCTGTAGAGAGAAAAACAGGATATTACATTAAATGAAGAATTACAACTCACTTTAAGAGGCTGCAATGTTCGTTACACCCTGTAATATGGAAGTGTTTAACTTATCCATCAACACACTGACAATGAAGACATGGTAATAATTCGGTTTAATCCACCTGGGAGCTTCACTTTGCTCAGCAAATTTCACACCAACTGGCCTTTTATATTATTGGATTTTGTGTGTGCAAAGTGGAGATTTTAGCTGATGGTAATGATGGTAGTACTAGAGAAAAGGTCCGGGCGTCACCAAAAACATTATAATTTGCAAGTTTCATGGAATATATCCATTTGTCATAGTCTGTAATGAGACCAAGTGTGGGTCAAGTGGAAAAAATGCTTAAAATTTAATCAGAAAGATTTGAGTTCAGATGTAATTTGAGCCACATTTCCAACTTTCAACAAATGTGGTTTAGATCTGATTTGAGAAGATCAAATCCATGTGTTTGTACTTTGCTGTTCAGACTTTAGAGAACAAAATCAACTTGTGGGAGATATGCTGCATAGTCATATCAGTATTGTTTGGAAAAACACATCTAATCCGATGTCCCTACCTGCGCACTGTGGGCATGTAGGGGCTGCAGGCGTGTCCATCCCAGGTGCAGTAGGGATCTCTGGCCAGGCAGCACTCAGCACAGGCCTGACCGTACAGCTCACACTGGTACAGAGCCAGCTGGGACACACCCTCCTTGGAGCCCACAAATAACCACTGCTGGAGGAGGAGAGGAGGAGGGGGTGAAAGATAGAAATAGAGATGGAGGAGAAAACAATGGACAAGCAGGGGGAGGGAGGAGGCAGAGTGAGGGATGGTCGAGGAAGAAGGAGGGAGGAATGGAAGTAGGAAGGGGAAAGAGGAAGTAGGAAAGAGAAGGAGAGTAATAAATGAAGAGGAGCCAAGAGAGAAAGAAGGCATTCAGTTTGCACCCGTAAAACATAGAGACGCATTGACAATCAACAGCTAAACCAGATCCATCTTCACTATGAGTCACACATCCAACTCACACTGTGACGATGTCAGTGCGTGGCCATGGGAAGAGTGTGTGTGTGTGTGTGTGTGTGTGTGTGTGTGTGTGAAAGAGAAAGAGAAACATGGTTATGTTTGCTTTTTATAATCCTGATGTGTGTATGTGTGTGCGAACCAGCTTTAGATTTCTATTTCATGAAACCCAGACTATTTTAATAATGCAAAGTGTGTGTGTGTGTGTGTGTGTGTGTGTGTGTGTGCGCGCGCGTATGTGTGGCATCTCTTCATTACTGCACCGACTGAGGTAGGGTAACCATAGAAACTGGTGATGAAGCTGTCCTTGGAGATACAAGGTGGAGAGATGAGTGATAAGTGTGATGTTGTGCATGTTTGTGTGTGTGTGTGTGTGTGTGTGTGTGTGTGTGTGTGTGTGTGTAGGGGAGTTTGGAAGTTTGAAAGTGAGTTTCTGTCTGTCTCTCATCTGTTACCTTTTTCTTTGAGAGTGCCATGGCTGTCACTGGTGATTTGTGCTGTGAGGAAGAGAGACAAGAAATCGAGTTTAAATTGAGACAAAAAATGAAACTGTCGCGCTAGACAGATAGATAGATAGATAGATAGATAGATAGATAGATAGATAGATAGACAGACAGAAACAGAGACAGTTAAAAGAGAGGGTCAACACATGTTGAATCAATTTCTAAGAATAAATAAGACAGTAAGAAAAATAAATAATTTGTCTGAACATCTCTGGGTGCGGCTGCAAACCCAATATCAGTTTTCAATCATCCACATCACTTTCAAAGGGTTTCACAAAGCACATATAGAAAAAAACAAGCTCAGACCTTGCTCAGACAAAGAAATCTTAACCACATCAGTCAATACAGAATTCTTATGAATTTGAGCCTGGAGTGGAATACACACTGAGCTGAATTGTGAATACTGTGACCTGCGGTTTTAGGAAAAATAGTCTTGATAATGACGTGCAGCTGTAGACTTTTATGCAAAGTATGTTATAAAATGGTGTACAGTAAATGTGTTGTTTCATACCTTGGAAAACACAATATAGAGTATAATTGTATCCTTTAAAAGCGAGTACATAAAGGAAATGGTTTTATCCAACATCGTCATTATAGAATAGAATAGAAATTTATTGTCACTGTTTAATTGTTTTTAAAAGTGACAATAAATTTCTAAAACCATTTCCTTTATGTACTCGCTATTAAAGGAGCATACCACTGTGTTTGCCAGTTGTATCTTCTTAAATCATGCTTTACAATATTGCTGACTATCTGCAATGTCAGCCATTCATACCGTAGTGTTTCACTATGTATAAGTCATTGGTTTTTACTGATTTCCGTACTGTATGAACAGTACAGTAGGTCGACAGCTGAAACTCTTTATAGAAGGGTAATTCATCACAGTGAACACCATTTTTGTTGTACGGCAGTAGTCTTATATGCAGACTAAGGTTATCGTGATATTGCTGTTTTGGCGATAACCATTTAAAAAATAAAATATTTAGTTCATGTTATTAATTCACATATGATAATATTGTGTAAATAATCCACCACTTCCTTTCCCCTTCCCAAACATCATCTGGCTGCCTTTACACTTTCCATTAAATGTAATCGCTCTTTTTGTACACTTTTGTACAGTTATGGTTTCAGACTCTCTCCATCTCCCTGAACTCATATTTTGAGTGCAATTCATTTCCCAAAAAAAAAACAGACAAAGTTAAAGACATATTTGACTGGTAGCATTATTTTTTTTCCCTACCCAAATTTTCTATAAATATCACAATAATATTGTTATCCTTCCCTGTTGAAAATTCAGTGCTGCATGACGTCTTGACAATAATGTTACTCTAAGGTTGAAGAGTCTGATATGATTTTCATACCACAAGTAAATGAATGGACACAAATGGCTGCGTGAAAGGCAGCAACATACATTCAAAAATCTGAAACACAACAACTAAATCTGCAGAATAATGCTGTTGTGCAAAGTACACAGATGTAAAGTTCATAAAAAATACCGTGAAACATGCTGGTGTAGAGAGTACACTATGTTTTTCTATACCTGAAAGACCTGCAGCTGTTCCAGAGTTACCTCCTGACTCTGACCGTGTTCTCTGTGCAGATGGATGGCCTTCAGCACGAGGCCCGAGTCTGCAGAAGTTAAAAACATGTATAAATATATAGTCATTGCGAAAAAAACATCCATGTTGGGGCTAAAATGCCAAGCACACAAATCTACACTCTCAAAAACTTCAAAGAGAACGTCCTCCCCACACACTCTACCTGTGCCGATGAACAGGACATCGTAGGTGCCGTCCACGGCCTCGACTCTATCCACCAGCAGTTTGCTGAATTTGTAGTGGACACCCACTCTGACCAGGAGGGGGCGCTCTCCCAGTGGCAGCACATTTTCCTAAAACAGTGTGACAAAATGCAATACATTAGATGTGATGTACAATTGATTTATTGCATTTCTGTTAAATCATATTTGTCAGTGTTGGACTGCACGGTGTCCCTCTGGTGAGGACTGTCACTTCCACTTTTTAATCTCACTTAAGTATTTGGATGGAAATCGAGGGATAGTGTGCTGACCTGACTGTAAAATAGGCCACAGTCTAATTAAATTAGATTGGTGTAATTTTAAAAAGTGACATATCAGCTGAACCTGCAGCAGCGGGTGAGTCCTGCTGAAGAAGATGACGTCGTCTGGATACTCTCTGGTCGAGCTGTAACTTCCATACGTGCTGCTGGGACACTGAGAGAGAGAAGGGGGGGAATGGAAAAGGATAAATACGTCTTGAAGACATTGAGACATTTTTATTCAATACATGTTCAACTTTAAAGCAGTTGCCTGAAGGAGTTTTGGGTAACTTACAGTCCCTGGCCGTGGGTAGGGCACCTTGCCTGTAAACTCTGCCCACTTGTACTGAGGTCCCTCCTTGTGAAGAAAGTTTCCCTTGAAAGCCCGAACCACGTCCTCCATTCGATAAACGCACACTGCTGAACCATTCAGGATGTCACTGCGGATAGACAAGAAAGAAATGAGAACTGTCATTCATCACAGTCAGACTCATATAATCTTTCCATCCATTATTCCTCCAGCACGCATGAATAAAAACATGATCTGAGCTGAATGTCTTTAAAGGATTCACTTGATGAGCTGAGGTGGTCTTAAAGCGGTAAATTAAATAAGAAAGTGATGTACTGTATGTACTGTATGAATAGCTGTGAGTCATTGTGGCTTTTCAGCTTGAACGCATCAGTTGACTGAATGCGCTCCAAACCAAAGTCCAACTTAGATGAATGTGCTGCTTTTAGCACGAGTCCCCACCACAACACACCCCATCCACTGCAGTTAAGCTCATGGTTAACATTTGGCTAAGTGTACGTGAGTTACAGATTCCAGCTGAATTTGAGGGGCAGAGCTGCTTCGAACAGACCAGTGTTGTGATGGATCAGGGTGGTTTCCTTCAGCTCAGACGGCTGACACATACAGGGCCCTGTGTTACACCCGGCACACAGCTGTCAATGCTAATTTCAGACTGATGGAGTTTCGATTTTTACAGCCAGCGCCCACGTTCGTAAGTAGCAAATGTTCTTCTGCCCATCTGTGCATCCATGGGTGTGCAGGTTTTCTGAGGTGTGGTTGGGCACATTGTTGGCATACTGATATTCCGAGGCAGCAGAAAGCGACAGCGCCAACGACCAACAAAAACCCCCAAACTTATTTGGCTGAGCATTTTCTTGCTCTTTAAAGGCCACATTATTCAGATAGTCAGATGTGCTACATAGGCGGGTTCACAACACGCTTGCACTCAGTTTGTTACACTCACAGGGATGTGTTTATGGGTTGCATGTGGGTAAAATGCTACATCATTAACGATGAAAATATTAAATGAGGCTCGGCCTAAGTTCAATCAGATGACTTTCTGCTTTATCCATTCACAATTTTCTCTTTATCCAACTCCCCAATCAGCTGACTATGGGTGTTCCCTCTGCTGTCAAACTTTGACATGATCTCCTTCAGCCATTCATGTTGCTGCTGCCAAACTTTCAACCTGTTCTCCTCTCTGCTCCTATCAGCTGCCATTTTAGGCTGAATCGTCGCACCCTCCTCCACCCCATTCACCAATAGTCAGCCAAGGACAAGCTCAATAAAAGCCCACTCCTCTTAACATCCAGATCCTCAGCTCCCTCTTCATCTCATCTCATCACCACCACCAGCTTCTAGACTCCACAGTGAGGGGATCCCTAATCTACTGCGTCTTTACCAATCTCCTGGAATAGATGACGTCACAATGTCTTACTTATGCGCACATGCAAATGAATATTCTTTTCTCTCAGAGCGAGTCTCTCCTGACTGAACTACATTCTCTAAAATGTGAACATAGCAGAGAGCAGAGCAGAGCTGCAAAGCTGCTGTCTGACTTTTTTTTACGAGAGAAACTGTATGTAGTTATTCATGTGGACCAGAAAACTTCATTGAGTATTTCAAAAGCTAAAAGTTTAGCTCTGTTTTCTCTGTCAAGTCCCACAACATGTGCTACAATGACATTACTGCTCCTACTGCTCTTACTGCATTACGCTCAGCAGAAAACTGCTTGCTTCTCCAATTTGCCGAATCCACTACGTAAATGACAGTGCTCCATGTGCAGGCACATCTGGCTTATAAAGGGAATGGGAGATTAATGTTACCCTCAAAACACTCCTATGATTATGGGACAAAATCAACCCCTTTTGCCCTTGCACTTTACTTTGTGCCCAGATTATGGACCATTTAACTAGCAAAGGTTGAGTTGGACACGCCCTAAATGCACTTGCATCGTGCACTTTAGACCATGCATTGTAGATTGTTTAAATAGGCCCCACAGTATGTGAGTCTAATTTTTCTATGGGGGGAAACTATTTCTTCTCCCCTTTACAGAAAGGTCAGAGGTCGCACTCCATAAGTCAGAGGTCCTGTGGCTGGTCTGGATTTAGTGTGTTGCTCAGTGGTACTTCAGAAAGGAAAAAGTCTTTCAACGTGAGCTTAAAACCCTGGCACTCTCTGTGAATTTGAATGTAAACTGAGATGCCTTTTTCTCCCAAGTTTTATGACATGGGTGGTTGATGGTGATGATGGATACTTCATTTTTTTGTAGAAATACTTTATAATATAACTATTAATGAGTGAAGATCCAAACAAGTGGACAGGAGAGGTTAAAGAATTTAGTGGCTAAAATGTATCAGTTCCTGACAAATTTGCAATTATTTGATCAGTTATGTCTATTTTAAATAAACTCCTCGAACAAACAAAAAAATGAAGGGATGTATGAATGAGGAAAAAGCAGATAAGTTAATAAATGAACATAAATATGAACGAGGAGGAAATTAATGAATGAAAAACACAAATAAGCAAACCAACAAATGAATGAACACAAACTTCTCCAAAACATCCATGCAAACTCCCTCTATATGTACTGCATGTGATAAATGAAGAGATGATCCAATGAAAAACAAAATGAAACATGCAAATAACAGAGGACAGCTCCACAGCCTGCACTCTCCACTTCATCACAGGGGACAAAAACCTCAGTGTGTGCAATCATGAGTGAGCCAGAAGGAGAAGTTTCCATTCAGAGGGAATGACCTTCCTGCACTCTGCAGTTCTGTGGTTGGGACCCCACCCTGGGTGATGCTTTGGATTTCTGTCCGTTCCCCGCTGAGATTCCAGACACTTTCCAAAACCCAGAAAAAGAACCAACTCCCTGCTCTGCCATGCCAAATGCCGTCATACCTCTGCAGCTACTGTGGAGCTCCAGCGTCCACTTCAGAAACCGGGTTATTCTCAGAGCATGCAGTATCATTGTTAAGTTCAGTGGAAATTGTTGCTCGCTCGCTCATTTGATTGGGCTTTTCCTCACTTTATATTTCCCTCCACTTAATTTCACCCAGCGCCTGGGTCTTGTATCCGTGCACCTGTTTTCTGCCTTTCAGAATGTCGGTGTTAATGAGAGCCTCTTTTTTTTGAGTATCAGACTTTTTCCGTCCGTCTGTCTGTCTTCCATCTATCGTGTAGTTTTCTGTGTTGGTGTCATGGCCCTGTCCCTGAAGGGGCAGAAAAATGCCTTTCTCCTCCTCCCTATAATGATTGTCTCTTAACATGCGAACAAATAGCCATTTTGTATTCTAACAGAAAGCATATTGTTTATGGACTCTAATCAAACCCATTTCAGGGCTGCTTCATATTTTCCATGTTTTGACATGTTTTTTAATCAAGTTTTCAGTTGCACAGTTTGTTGTTGTTCAGGTTTGACCTCTGGAAGATGCATTTGTAATTTGATGGCTGAAAAAACAGTTGAAAGCTGCAGCTTCTGTTTGATTCACTGCAGCAATTGTGCAATTGGAGAAACACCATGATGGTCACATGTCGTGTGGAAGTAACACGCACACAATTAGCCTCATAGGCTGGTATGAGTGTTGCTATATTTCCATAAATCATCCTGATGAATCTCTGTTTGTGTAAGGAAAATATGACATGGCTCAAACTCGAGCCTCTCCCATCCCACACCCACACCCACACCCACACCCACATAAACACACACACAGTCTCTTCCTGTATCACAGTCAGAGCACTGATGATGATGATGATGATGATGATGATGATGATTTGATGGTAAAGGCTCACATGAGCTCCATTTTGTTAACATGAATGTGTTTTATTCATGAGTCAAAGTGTGTGTATCTGTCAGTATGTGACATCATCTCTGTGTCACACATTACATTGTGACATCATGTGACAGATTCGGTCTCAGCTGCATTATTGTGTTATTGACAAGTTTTTTCTAGGTACCTTTTTTTAAGTACTGTAATTCTTAATATAATGATAATAATAACCTCTTGAAAACAGCATGTATTTAAGTCGTCATTTCATGAAGCACTAGAATTTATCCTTAGAAATGACATGTCTCTGTGGTGTATTGATGAACAGGTGTCAAGTCAGTGGTGAGAAATCTTCTCCTCATGAATCGTCACGAACTAAAACATCATAATCATCTCCACTGTCATCTGCAGTCTAATTAAATGCTTTGACTTTTATCTATTATGCTAAATTTCTTTTTAAACAGCGACAGTGCCTGATGCAGCTGCTTTGACCAAGAAGTTTGATTTTCAACCAGCATGATTAATTTATTAATTTATTTTCAGGAAATCATATTTACACCTATAAGGCTTCCAGTCCTTCTCTTATCGTCCACTCTTCTGAACTCTAGAGGTCTTTCTTTTACAAGAGAGAAGAAGATTTTTGCTGTCCTGCACTATATCACAAAACAGCTGAGCCTATATATATCTGTAGGGGTTGTTAATCAATACCAATGACTCAATGCAGTTTTTTTTTTTTACTATGAGCAATCACAAACTCTCCACCCTGTGGGAATTCAAGACACTCCCAGTGCGTCCCACCCACCATCATACTGGCTCTTTCAACCCTTAAACAAGGATACAAAGAGTACAAAGTGCCATTTAAAGTTACTCAAGTGTATTCCCTTGTTTTTATCTTTACAGAGGTACACACCTGGAGGTGGTAAACAGGCCGTAGATGAGAGGGTTCTTCTTGTCTTTCCCCTGGAGGATAAAGATGTCTTCTAAATTGCGGGAACAAGGAAAGGAGGGAGAGATCAGGAAAAGAGGGGGGAAGGAGACAAAGAGGTAAAACATTAGTTAAGCCAGAGTAAAAATCACAACAGTGTCTGAACAACTGGAGGAGTTTGATTAGTGTTGCACCTGTGTGTGTGTGGGTATCTATCACTCTGACTGTGTGACTAATAGCGTTGGGCGTGCTGGCAGCATGGCTGGCTGGCTGCTTGTAATGAATCTGTAGCCATTAATAACCAGCCACAGTGGGAGAGCTAAGCGCCGAGTCCTCCACAGGAGAACAACACCTGCTGTCACACACACTAACACCACGCCTCGGTCTTCACTCTCCATCTCAAACGCAGTGAATCACAACATCTGATACGTATTTCTCACTCCGATGGCGGCCCCTCACACAGCGCAATCAGGTGGAGTGTGGATTATCGCTCTCTCCATCTGTCTGTCTTTAAAACCTCAGACACCACTGGCATTATGGATTTTTAAATGGTGTTCTAGCTTTGAAGAAATTACACTGATTGGCTCCTTGGTGATGTTTATATTCATATATAACATGGTAAATCAAACACCAAATGTCTGATCTTGACAGATTTTAAAGAGATGATAATTTTTTGCACCGCAACTTTGATTCATGACATCAATCAAAGCTCTATGTACTGATGGCACTGGACAGCAGATCAGAATGAATCAGCTACAACACCGATAAAAATGAATCTACTATAAAAAAATGCATTAATTTCATTCATTGTTCATGGAATAATGTTCCGGTGAGTGTGTCCCCATTTTGTTTGTATCTTGAAATACATATAAGTCCATCAAAATTAAACAGGTTATATTTATTTTGGTAGACTTGGATAAAAACAAACATGGTGCCTGAGATATTGTGTGAAACAAATAAAACAAAGCGCTGTTCCATAAAATCCATATCCTGTTGTTTCTCTCTTTGGGGTAATCACTGTCATTTTCTGAAATTACAGTGGTAATGAAGCATGTCACATATAGATGAAAGTATTAATGAACAGATGACAGGATACAAAAAAAAAACAAAACAGATGGCAGGAGTCAGGAGACAAAAATTGTCTTCTAAAAGTCTCTCATTTACAGACTTTCTATCAAACACATCATGTATGTATCAGCATGTTTACAATAAAACTCCATGGGGTGTAAGTGCAAAACTAGTCCATGAATCCAGACATCCGCAAAATACTCACTGAGTGGGCAAATAGACGCCCTGTCATAATAAGTACAGATTAGTGTAGTCTGACTCAGGGCTGCCCACAGAAATAGCTTGGCCCTAGAAAAGGTCCAGTGAATGGGCCTTTCTGAATTTGCTTTACTCATGTCAAGGTATAAATGTAAACTGACTGAGAGAGACGGGGCTACACAGGCACTATCTTTCTTTTCGTCATAGGAAGTGATGGTGCTTGATGGCTCCTTCACTGACGCTAGCTACCTCTTGGCTAGAAACGTTAGCTCTAATGATAGTCTTCTGGCTGTCATCTGCCCCTTCAGCCTGTTTGGGATCTGCCCACTGAGCTGACTGAAAAAAAGTTGGCCATTACTTTCCAGCTCCCACTTTCTCTTCACTTTTCTTTCCTCGCATCCAAATTTATGTGCAGGTCCTTTTTTTTTTTAACCTGCAAAACATACTCAGACCACCTAGTGGCTGGGCCCCAGAAGGCTTCCCCCCTTAACCCCCTTATAGGTGGCCCTGGTCTGATCACAGGATATAGACATATAAGATTGGCACTGGCCGCCTATTTCAGACTCAATTCGCCTCCTCTTCTGCTGTCACCTGACACTAATTTACAAGGGCACCGTCACTGCATCCTGGGCTTAGTGCCACTCAAAAAGATAGTGATTTGTTTAAAAAATACAAACAACCCAGAGCATTTCTTTCCCATGTTGAATTATGAAGGGCTCAGGCAGACCCGTTTCTAGTGCAGAGCACTTAAACAAAGTGTGGTGTCAAGTCTGGCCATGTGAGACTACGGTTAGTGTGACAAACATTATAACACAACACTGGTTCAACTTCGACAAACTGTGATGAATTCTGGAGCTACGTTCTTGTGTTTTAAAACACTGATCCACAGTCTTGATATTTTCATATTTCTAGTGTTGCTCATCGTTGTTTAATTCATATGTCTGCTGTCACAGCAGAGACAAGACCTTGATTTTTGGTTTATTTAAATCATAATAAATCACAGTTTTTTTTGTTTTGCACTTTTGCCTCAGATAAGAGTTGGGAATGTTTTCATCATCATATCACAACGGTGAAGAACAGAGCCCTTTGTTTTCTGTGTGGCATGCTGTGATAATCTATAAATACATGACTTGACTTGGCTCCTTGGGTACGCTGAGACAAGTAACTTTAAAAGTCTTAGAAACTCTATAAAAAGGTTTCACCCGGAAAGTACTCAGGTTGATATCGAGATACACAGACTTTGTCAACCTTTGCCGCAATAAAGGTTGAAAAAGGATGTTCAAAACAGGGTCTGGATGTGCTCTGCCCTTATTCTCTTCTCCTTGTCTCCTCTCCTCATTTCCTCTCCTCTCCCACGATGAGGCAGAGATGTTGTTGTGGTGATGGAGACAGCGAAGCGTATCGCTGTTCCCACATTCCCAACGTTCCTGCTGCTTCAGATGGCCTCCATGGAACTACAACCCCGCAGGAAGTCTAATCTCATCTTATCTCACACACACACACACACACACACACACACACACACACACACACACACACACTCTTGCCACACATAGTGAAAGATTCGGGAGCGCATCACATCAAGCAAAAGAAATGAAAGCCTGTATGGCCCCATGCATGCACCCACACACACACCAACTGTGGGGACCAAAGCACACAGTTGAACACACGCTGATACTGTACGTATAGACACACACAGAATCAGCAGGCCCCTCGGGGCAGAGCAGAGAGGACTGTGGGTAGTCTGCAGCCTGCAGCGTACACATTGCTCACACCCTCCATCCTTTATTTAATGTATCACTCCATTATTAAGTTCTCTTTCGCGCTTCTCCTGCTTTGCTTTGGCTCATTTGTGCAGTTATCTCTCTCTTTACTCGTGTTCCTGTCCTCTATCACTCCTTACCGCATTTTATTCATACTGTATATCAATTTCTTTCACCTCCTCTCCATTAAAAAAACCCCAAACATTTATTGCAAGTTTTCTTTCCTGCTCACATCTTCCCAAAAATGCCCCTCTCTCTTCAGCTCCTCTCATCAATCAAAACCTTTATCATCTCTTGATTTTCTTTTTTTCCTCCTACTTGTCTTGACGTTTTTTATGGCGGTTTTGCTTTATTACTCCAGATGATATATATGCTGTTTGGTGAACCCTTTCATCCAAAGCACCTCAAACTTTTTTCAAGGAAGGGATGAGCCAGAGTCAAAAGAAGGGCATCAGAAGATTTACATCTAAACCTGCAGCGCTGAGTTTTATAGCTGCACAGCCAGCCTGGTGCAAGACATTTCTGTACAGATGAAAGACAGACTCCTTCTAAACCTGGCGGGAACATGTTGACCGAATGATCGGACTGGAATCTGATAGAGCGAATAAATGGATAAAATCCATTTGTAGGTGCATCCAAATATGCAGTCAAAGTCTGATCATCCAGTCACATCTACAGAGGTGGTCGGAGCCATATTTGGTCACGCTGACGACAAAGTGTTGACACAGTTTGTCTGCAGGACACATGTTTGAGTGGTGTAGTCATAAATAAACCTAGATGTGCAGAGGTTAAGAACAAGGAAGCAAGAAAAGATGTAGCAGCCAGTTTATACAGATACTTGTGGCAGTAAACTGGAACTCAAACTCTCATCAGGATTCAAGCAGGACAGATGTGTTTATCATTAAACTAAAAGAACAGTTATTTCCCAGAAAGCCAAGTGAGTCCTGACTTGGTTATTTGCAAGTTAAAAGATTTCTAGACACGTAGGTTAAAACTGTTACATAATGTTTAGCAGATGGCCTTATGCAGAGCAACTGACATCAAGACAAAGCTACTAAATCAAACCATTGTAGTGATCAGGTGAAGTGAATTTAGGACAAATAATAATGGATTCACTGGAATGGACCAAAAAGTTAGTCACAGTAGCCCTTGAGTGGACTCACATTTTTTCAGTTGTACTACTGCACCTTTTTTTTGCTGCATCATTATAGACAAAGCACTGCAGAATATGGCAGGCTATAAACTATTACAAACCAAGACTTGACTACAAAACTAGAGAGAGAAGATGGAAACAAAGGGAAGCACTACACAGAATACCACGACTCATTTCAGTTTGCTGCTCCCATGCTAACTGTTAATGACGTCTGCTAAACTACTTTTGAACCGACTGCTGGCACAAACTGATCTACTGATGGGAACATCATCAGATTTTCAAATCTTGGACTAAGGGAATTTTGACCCGTTAGTAGTGCTAAAAGATCACCAAAGTGATTACAATTCATCCTGAGGCGGACATGAATGCCTGTACCAAATAGCAGCAAAACATGTTGAAATATTTCAGTCTGGAATAAAGTGACCAACCAACTGATCAAGGGACTGATGCTGCCATGCATGCTGCTTGCATGGCTAAAAATACTCCAAAAACCAAGAGCAAAACTGTACACCACTTGCTGGCAATGGAAAGATAATGAGGTGTTTTAAAGCCAGGTAGAAAGGAGGCCACAAAGCATGTAAAAGAAAATATACCACTATAAATATTGAAAAAGTACTGCGTAAACTTAACACAAACTTTGGTTAAGCCTTTAGGGAAAAGCTCTGAATCCCTGCCTTCTGCTTGAAAGTTAGTCAGTCTCTCTTTCTTCTCAGCACCTCAGTGTGCATTCAGCTTCACATGAAAACAAAGTTAAACTTTGGAAGACGCAGCCAGAACAACATTTTTCTTTTCCAGACTTTGAAGAAGACGTCTCGGGTTATTTACAGCTCAGCTTGGCAAAAATTCGCTCTTATCTCTCAGTGACAAGTTTAA